CCCTTCTCACCGTCGGCTCCGACGTTGTTAATCTCCGCGAGGATCTCGCTTGCGAACTCGCTGTCCGCAACAGTGGACGGAGCCTGGTCTTTGGACTTGAGTCGCTGAAGACGTTGGGCTAGGGTTTCCTCCTCATCGCCGCTTTCCTCGGCTGCAGCCATGGCGTCTTGCACCGTAGCTGCATACATGGTGTTTGACCGCCTATCGGGAGTGCGTGGTGGGGGCTCCCCCCGGAGGCGGGCTCGACGCCGGCTCAGAGGTTCCGACTCTTCCATGGCTCTCTTCTCCATCAGACCCAGCGGGCGCGCCTCTTCCGTCGCGGGCGCCTTTTCAGGGAACAGCATACCCAGCGGGACATCATCGTCGTCTCCCTCGTCCGGTTTTTGAGCATCTGCACTTTCCCAGGCCAGAGTGACTGGCCTCTGTCGCCGATGTTCGCTCTGCTTCTGAGCAACAGCATCCATTTGAAGGAGCGTGGACTGGAGCCCGAAGGGACCCGCCACGGCTTTCTGCCGTTGTTTGAGCTCGTTCTTTCGCATTTCCAATTCTGCCATTAGTGTATTTGGCGGCCCGGTAAACTCTACTTCAGGTTCAATTGGATGGGCGATGTCTTCGTCGTCGTGTTGAACCACGTCCGCACCGCCAGTTGCGCCATACTCATCCTCACGTAACAAGGTGCCTTCATGCATGTCTGCCGCCTCGGCTTCGGTCTGTTTGTAGAAGCGATCGGAGGTCACTGGTCTTTCTTCCAGCTCCGGGTCGGACAAGCGGCGGTCGAAGCCAAGAGTGCTCCGAGAGGCTCGCTTCTTCGAATGATCAAGCAGACCGCCGACGGAAGGTTTACGTGTGAGCTTGGCATGACCCGCCGCGCCAGCAATCGGATGGTCGGTAAACGCACTCACAGGGGCGTGTGCTGATGCATCAAGTATACTGTCTAAGGTGGCTACCGCGGAAGCCTGAGTCAGTTCTAGATTAAGTGGCACCGATGGCTGTTCGAAGAAAACGCTGGCACGAAGCTGTGGCGGCAAAGCTGCCACCTCCTTGTCTCGCTTGAGAGCAGCGTTGCCGTCCGAGTCCTGCTGTGACAGCCACGGGGCTGATTTGCGGTTATCGACAGGAATTGAGCCTAGAAGCTGTGTGCGGCGCTTCTCTCTCTCCGCGCCGGGTTTTCGCGACAGACGAGGGGGCAAGTTCAACATCATTGGCACCGGTGCAGGGTAATAGACCATATCTTCGCCGGCCTGTGGTTGCTTGTAGGTTTCGGATCGGCTTGCGAGCGGCGGGCGGGTAAGCGATACTCGGCGCGTCAGGTCTTTCTCCGAGGGAACATAGTGCACGCCGTCGAAGTCAGTGAACAGGACTCGAGCTTGCTGGTAGGTGTCAGTCGAAGCCGCTGTGCACGGACGTTCGAGTTCCTCGCCCAGTAGGTGATTGTAATGCTCATGGTCGACAAGTCGAAGCTCTCCTGGGGCGGGCGCAGAAGGGGGAGGAGGGAGGTACGGCATGAGGGGCGTGTGGTTGGTAGATGCCGCATACGACGGGTCAGGACCATGCTCCGATACTTGAGCGAGGCGCGAGACAGACTGGATGGAGCCATGACGGGACGACAGGCTGGCCTTAAAGCCGTCTTGGTTGTTGGTATAGACCGAGGAGCCACTGGACCTCCGCTTCTGCTCCAAGTCCATCTTGCGAATCTCGTCTCCAATATTGGTCGAGCTCATACTCATCCGTTCAGCACTCCTCTCCAGACGTTCCACATTATTGACATAGGCTCCTTGCAGGGACTGTAGACCGGGGGTCGGATGGTTGAGCGGGATGGGCTCTCCGGAAATGGGGCTTCGGAGCGGCGGTTCGGAAGGGGAAGAAGCGATGGTGGTTGCGGTAGTGTCAAGCGGAGGCACGCGACGGGAACTCTTGGGACTTTGGGCTGCGGAGGAGGAGGAGTGATCGGCGGGTAGTTCGTAGTCATCGTCTTCGACCATGTCGTAGCTGGTTGAGGTGATCGACCGGATCATCGAGCCTAAACCGCCGATGCTGGAACTTTCGGCTGACCTGGCAGGTTGCAGATAGTTGCCAGCGCCGATATGGTCCACATCCAAGGGAAGTGGTTGGAAGGATGCATCATGGTGCTGGGACTGGAGGGAAGAACTGCGGGAATGCTGATCATCAGAATCGCTCGCATTGGAAGCGACCTCGTGGTCGGCCTGTAAGACGGCGTTGTATTCCATGATCGAACTGTGCTGAGGAGGTGATCGCGAGTGTCCAAGCCATAAAGGGGAGAAAATAGTTCACTCAGCAAATCCCAGTCTTGACGTGGTCGAGGCAGGAGGAACAAGGCGAGAGCAGATTAGAGTGAGAGGAAAGTCAGATGTTCTGGCACAGATAAGAAATGAGGGCGGGCCTGCACTACCGCGATACCCCCCTGCAAGAACGGAACTAGGAAGGATAGAGGAGGAGACGAAGGAGACGAAGGATGGGAATGGAAAGAGAAGGAGGAAGAAGAAGCAGGGGAAGAAGGGAAAGGATAAAGAGATCCCCTTGGATAGAAGATATTATCAGCTCCGTCCTGGCATTACGCAGTCGGGGAAAATAATAATTGAAGATGGGGACGAGGAGGGGGGATGTTTTTGGGTGTGGAAGTAATGTATTGTAGAGGAAGAAGGTCTTGTATTATTGTCATCTTTTTTTTTTCTTTTTTGCCTGGGTTGCTAAATTTGGGTGGCCGAACCAGGCTGGACCGAAAGCAGTGGAGTTAAGTTACTGTGAGTGTGGGAAAGAAACGGGACCAACTAAGTCTCTTAGGGGATCCGCCACGCTGTTTGCACCAGACAAGGGTAACTTGTACAATACCGTATAAAAGATTCACACATGTATACAACTGCAGTCAATTAACTACAACAAACTGTTCTAGGTAAGTGGTCAGGAGACAGTTCGTGCAGTAGTCGCTAGTCACACATGTAAGTTGACTGTACATCAGGACTACAGAGCACAGAAGGGCTCGTCCTGAGCAAATCTTCACAAGATACAGTCTCCGTATTCCGTATTCCAAATTCTAAACAGAGAAGCACTGTACTCTGTATGATGCTGTCAACGCCAAATTGCCGGTATGGGCTAGCTCAAATTGTCTGTTTCAGGGTCTTCTGCTGAACGAGTGGAAAGGACAGCCCCTGGGGAAAATGTCTTACGTACCCGAACTCCCCCAAATCCACCACCGCCCCTTTCTGACACGAACACCACATATCCATCCCGACAGCACGGAGTACGAAGCAATACATTCGATGATCCTATCAGTACAGTATATACCACCTCCTGGAAGCTTTCAGCTGGTCGATCTTCGACACGAAGGTTTGCTTATCTGACTCGAATGACCGGGGGAAAACATCCCTTCCATACCGGTATGCCGCGGTAATCGTTGGCCGTTGTATCTACGCTAGCCAGTAGTTACGGAGTAGGAGGTAGTTAGTGGGGAACCTAAGAGCAAAGGGCTAGGCGATCGACTGGCTGGATGGACGTTCCGTACAGCAGTATCCCTCACATACGTATCCAATGCCCTTCTCCCTTTATCCAACTGTGCAGCAGCGTCGGGTGGGAGAGGCCGAATATACCGCCCTTTCGAAGCATCACCTGCTGTCACCTTTGAAGTCATCATCCGCCAACAGCTTCTCCTAGCTACTTACATATCACGGTCAGGTCAAAGGTTAGGGTTTCTACCTCCCTCGGGATATGACAGATACTCAGCCGCAGTTCAGGAATCCTTGCTCAAAGAAATTAAAGCCCCACCCGCAGGTTCACTGCAGTAGTTCTTGACCCATGCCCAGAGATCTTGTGGCTGTACGTACTATGTAGAAGGCATTCGAGTCTCCTCCATATTTCAGTCCCAACTCACCTATACCACAGCGCCTTCCGCATCCCAACATTTTCCCTCATTCCCCGCCGTCGACCTTGAATTACGCGAGCATGCATCCAACTGGCCCAAAAAGGCCAGCTACGAACCCACTCACGAACAACAAAAACAAAAACAATCAACAGCCGAGCAATGACCTCATTCTCCCAAAAATCGCTCAGAGAAAAGCCACGGGCTGGAAAGTGTGAAAATTAACTAACATCCCCGGCAAGTGGGGAATTATGACGCTATGGGCTCAATCTCCCACCAGGAACGCATTGAAGGCTGAAGCTATCCAAGGCGGTTTTGCTGTCTAGCGCCGTCCTCCGCCAGACTAAGAGGATAGGGCCCAGACATCAACGAAAGTCTACAGCCAACAAGGTGTGTCCGGTGCTCGGATACGCTCCACCTTCATCCAAAAAGTGAGCCCCACTTCCATGATTTGCGAAAAAGAGGCGCCGTAACAGAACCACTGCACCTCCCCACAGGTGGCCCCCCCGGGCCCCAATCATCAGGACTGAAGATTTAAACCCTGGGGTTGTTGGTTGCCTTGAAGGATCCTTGTCTTGTGTGAACGGACTCGGGGTTTCTGGAAAAACGGATCAGATTCAAGTAATTTAAACGACCGTCAGCTGAGACTGAGAGCAAAAGAATGTCGCATCTATTTATCCGATCCGCTGTGCATGGGTGAGTGGTTTTGTCCGTGGGCGATCAGTGGCCACTGGCAACCAGCCTGCCGTTCTGTTCTGACGGATCAACAAATGATAATCGGTAGGGATGACGTTGTCGGTGACGGATGGTAGCCACTGGGCAGTTCAGCCTTACTCGGAAACTTCCGTCGGACCGTCTACGAGACATGGATGTTTAGGCCTCTCGCGTTCACCTCCGCCCGATGAAGTCTCACAAAACATTGGTGGCGATAGTACTAGCTTCATGTAGCGACTGACAGAGGGGCTAACAATATGGTATGCATTCAACCTCTCCCACTATTCTTGACCCCATAGTCACGGGATCATCTCACACTGAAAAGGTACAACCACATGGCTCGAACAATGTGCGTTCAGTAAATAGCCCAACGTCATCTCGACAGTAACCTTCTTAGAATGATAATGCCGGCGACTGCCGTGGGATCCCCCCAGAATGTTCCCACCTATTTTCAAGCTAGTAAAGAGACGTAACGTACGATATTGGCTTCAGATTCCAACAACCATATGCTGACCTTCCCAACTTAACGCAAAGAACATGCACTCCTGACGTTTGAAAACAGCGAGGCTCTAATGCACATTCCTCCATCAGCAAATAACGAGGATCTCGCCAAGCGAATCCACAATCTACTCGAGCCCATACACATATGGCACCAAATCGCAACACAGACCTAATGAATCCCATAAATCAGCATCCCAGTATCAGTTTAACTCCTGTTGTACAATACACAGCCCATCCCGCACAGATCAAACCTCCCCCTCCCTGGCCCCAACCTTCTCCTTCTTCTTCAACTCCATCAACTCCGCCCTCTCCCTCACCGTCCCCGCGACCCCCAACCCAGTCTCCCCCCCCAACGCCTCAAACCCCCTGATCACCCCCTCGCGATCCCCCTTCCCCATCTCCTGACTCATCTTCACCTTCCCCTGCAACCGCTCAATGCGGATCTCAATCCCGATGATATTCTTCTTCAGCAACTCGACATAATTGACCGGCGCATCCGCCACCGCCCACGGCTTCTCGTACCCCATGATCCGCGTCTCCGCCTCGCGCGACAGATCCTCCACCTGCCGCTGCAGGTAGGCGCCCGTCGCGTCGGCTTTGCTGTCGCAGTACACCCGGACCCTGCCGTACACCTGGGCGGCCGAGTAGTTCCAGGTTGGTACCACCTTGCCGGTGGCGGGCTTGGTCTCGGTGTAGAATTTGGGCGTCACGTAGTGGTGGTGGGGGCCGTTGAAGAGGACGAGCACCTCGTCGGGGAGCTCGAGGGCCCCGCTGCTATTGCTGGCGGCTTGGTGGGCGGCGAGTGCCTCCATCAGGGCCTTGGCTTGCGGGTTCTGTTTGGCCATGTGGCCGCGGAGGGTGCCGAGGTGGGTGGTGGGTTCGGCGGCGGCGGCGGCATCGGTGACGGGCGGAAGAGACTCGGGCACGTCGAGGACGAAAGGGATGTGGCTGGTTTGGAGGAGCGGGTGGGCCGGGGATTGGATGGCGGTCGTGAAGATGCCCAGCGGGTTGTCGCGGATGAGTTGGTGGAGGTAGGCGATGCTGGATTCGGCGTGGATGGCGCGGAGATACATCTTGCTGTTTCTTGTTGAGTTGGTTTTGGTGGTGGTGAGGAAGAGAGGCGGGGTGGGTGCCGGGTTTGATTTAGAATGAAAGTTGTCTCAGGAGGATACCGGCTTCTTATAGTCTAATGAACTTGCATCAATTGGCTCTGACAGAATGAGTTCCCATGTGGTTTCTGTGATTCAATTGTGAGTAGGCCCACCGGTCTGTCTTGTTGACAAGCACCCCCCCCCCGGCAGACCGTTATCGCCTATCGCGTGAGGTTCTTAGGCTGGTGAGTCAGATTTCCAACTGGCCTGATTGGTACACTGCGCCGAGGCCCGCGGAAAAAGAATGTCACTGCGGAGTAGTCTCGCGTAAGTATGTCTTCTTTGGGTGCTTGGCTCAAAATTAATGGGGCTTGGACAGAGAATTGTTAGAAAGTTGATTGAATGACTCTTCTTGACAATGGTTATGGTTAAGGTATACCTTAATAGCTGGATTCAAGGTTGTTGATCTAAGGGAGAAATACTTTTTGTCCGGGGCGCTAGTACTCTCTCGGATTAGTGACTGAGTAAATTCGCCTTGCGGAAAGAAGACAGCCAATCGGAGATGGCTCTATTTCGATGTCGCTTGCCCGTTTGGGAATGTATCGGGAGTGGGCCAGGGATCAATAGATCTATAATATTGTGGACTGCATGCAGATATTTGGCTGTCCGAAATAGTTCCCTGCTGCAGTGAAACTGAGCACATATTTGCCACATAATTGAAAATTCTTTGAATTCGTTACCTGCCTGCATCGCTCTTTATCCTGCCTTTTCTTCTTGATCTGTTCGCAATAGAAGACCGCCCAGAGAACATCAATTCTACATCAACCTGTTGTCATCGTCACCGTAGAAAATGTTTTCTTAGCAGAGGACTTATATCTCACACTGTGGGCGTTGAGATTGCAAGGGAGTCGTCACCAGAAGGTATTTACTTTGCAGTTGGCGTGATTGAGTCACAAGCGCTCAAGAAGATATACCATTTCGGCTTTCGCTGATCTTAAAGAAAATCTCGCAGAAAGACCCCAAATAGCATCTTTCGACTTGCGATCGCTCACTTCAGACTTTCCATCGGAAATGCAAGATTGCAGCCGCATGCTGGCTCAATCCCTAGCGAGCAACATATATTTCAGAACATTGAAGGTGATCAGATCAATTCAACCTGCATTGAGATATCGCTACCGCCATCATCACCCCCGCCAAAGAGAGACCGTTCGCGCCGCCAACAACACCCACACTCCCCGGTGCAGCGGGAATACATTTAGACCTCCGGCCAGTCCTTCGGTACTACCCCTTCCACGCAGGAGACTTGACACAACAATCGCAGTGAGCAAACCTACAGCAGCCACCCCGCAGCCGGCACGCCTGTGCCTCCTTCCCATAGGGCTCCAGTCTCTGAGCCATCCTTGAATCTGCCCGGATCCAAGCACCCTTCACCGGGTACTCGTCACACAGTGCCTTGACTTCTGCCAGTTCGTCCGTAGTTGCGCCGAGACGGTGTGGGATTCCTGTATGAGCTGGTTCCGTTGCATCGAGTGGTCCTTTGTCGAGTGGGGAACAGAGTCCTTGAGGTCTCGAGCTCCGTCAATTTGCGCCGCTAACCGGGCATGGCGCTGAACCAGAGCGCGAGCCCCAGCCACGAGTGCGTGTTTCTTCTGGAGGTAGTCGAGTTGCAAGGCCCGCTCCGAGTCGGGGGTTTGGACCTTTAGCGACTAAGCTGACTAGGGCGAGGAGGCGAGGGCGATGGGATCGCTCACAAGAACTCTCAAAATGTTCCCACGGGTCGGTCCTAGCATACGCAAAGAGCGTGGTCGCCGTCGTGACCAGGGCGCAAAAAAGCCCAACGAGAATACCCAGAGTTGCAAAGGTGAGAGTCATCAGTAGCAGCACCAGCAGCAGCAGCCACATCACTGCATCCAGCATCTTTTGCAGTTGTGCTCGTTTGGGAGATCCCTGGGGCAAAGGTCAATTGTGAATTTTGCGGAAGTGGAAGACAAAAAGAGTGGACTGCTGGAGACAGATTCGAAGACCGGAACAGAGGAACAGATGGCAAACAGACATTCAAATTAAGGTCTAGAGTGTCAGGAAGTCTTAGATCACATCAAAAATGCTCTTCTAAGATCTCATGCGACAAGAACCCGGGAACAATCTCAAAACCCAACCGAGAACGATTCTGTGCTCCCATAGAGCACGTGTCAACTCTGCACCCTACATCTCAATTCCTGAGACATGAACATCTTAGAGACCTGAGGTGCTCCACAGGCAGCACTGATATAGCCTACAAATTCAGCCCGCACAAAGAAAGCTAACAGTAAACAGCCACTTTCTTCCCCCTTCCTGTTTCCATGTGGGCTGTACTCCGAGGTGTCGGCGAGCATAAAACAGAATACTCATGGGGCATTGACTGAAGCAGTTATAGGGCAACCTATAGTCCCGATCATAGCGCTTTGCGAAGCGATCCACAAAGGCCAAGCTTAACGCTGAGACAACTCTCGGTGGTCCTGCCCGGTCAGTTATCAGAGACCCACGGCCGAGGATTTGGGCTATTACCTACTCAGAAGAAACATCGACTATCTCGGGATATTGCGGACATCCCTGGTAAAGCGTATATTCTACAGAATCTTTTGAGAAGAAATGAGATGACCTTTACAGGTGTTCGGCTAATGCATATGACCAAGAACAGAGGTAGTTTCATTGTGCAGCTGGAGGCTTAGGAAGACCTAGTTAAGCGTATATTATTTTTCTTGGCGGGAAGAGATATTGATTTGCGCCGATGAAAATAGGGTGACTCGAAGTTTCGATCCTCGTGTTCCTAATTCTTCAAATATCGCTGTATCAAGTATATAGTCTACCACACATTGTAATCTACATCAAATAACACCCGACACTGGCTAGCTAGCCAACTGTCCACCGACCTAAACCATCACAGGGCGAAGCCGGAGAATCGACCCAACCCCCAACGGCAACATCCCAGTCCTAGCCCAAACCCTCACTCCCAATCTAAACAGACTCATAGTTCCCCCGGTAGCGCTTCACAACCGTGAATGTGCTGTCAGACGTGCAAGTATTCCCAGGGATGGTAACCTCGCCACTGCAGGTGCCGGTGATGCCGGCGCTGATGCCGATGAAGTCGAGGGACTCCTTGGCCTTGCCGGGGTAGGCGGTGCCGTCGGGGTCGTAGGCGCTGCAGAGCTTGGGGCTGCCGTCGAAGGCGGACTCGCAGCCGAAGGTCCAGGTGCCCGTGAAACAGTCGGAGGTGTACTGCACCTTCTCACTGTTGTCCATGCAGGGCGCGTAGCCGCCGGGGTCGGCGTTGCTGTAGATGGTGTTGCCGTCGTCGTCGGTCAGGGTGAAGCCCTGGGAGTAGCCGCTGCCGGCGCCCTGGATGTCGCTGTAGGAGTCGGCGGCGTAGAGGAAGTGGATGATGTCGGTGGTCGCGACGACGGTGGAGGCCGTGGCGCACAGGGTGAGGAGGAGGGGTTTGGCGAGCATCTTTGCTGGATTTTCTGCCTTTGGTAGGATAAAGAGATGAGTTTGACTTGGGATGAAAGGAAGAAGGAGGAGAATTGAGATGGTGGTTTGTGTGATGATCGAGGGAAGTGTCTGAGAGGACCTGGGGGTATTTATATCCATGCTGCGCCTATACAAGGCGCGCGAAACGCGAGTCTCTTCCGTCTTTCTAGGGCCTGGTGGAGAAGGTCTTCACGATTTTCTCAGAGAAATCATGTACAACAACTTGGAAGGCCATGTGGAACCGTTTTGGGGGCCGGAGAACGGATCTATTGCGGCGGCTAGAATTAAATCGGTCAAGCGGGATCATCTCCCCCGTTCTGTATTACCCAATGCACCCTGACGCTGATGAGTGAGTCTCGAAGACTTCCCTTTGCGGGCAGCCAGCCTCATCTCCCCCGAGATTGCGGAGTTGCAGCCTCGTCGGTGTGGGGTGCTTGTCCCACCAAGCTTTCGCGAGGTGGCCATTGAAGGCTTGGTAGGTGGGGCCTGGAGGCTTAGCTGGAACTGGGGCAAATCCTTCAGGTCTTCCATCGCCAGATCCTGCTCGCTACACCTGCTTCTTGAGTAGAACGTTAGCCCTGAGCTATTGCTTGATATATACTACTTGCTGTTTATGACTTGCTTACCAAAACGGGCTTGGCAGAAGGAGGAGACTAAGCCGAGGACTCAAATGATGGCTTATATTAGGGTGGCATCCATATCAACAGCACAATGGCTATGATGTAAGTGTCTTCAAAGTCCTCGTTTTACGGAGCAGAAGGGTTTTCTGCTGCTTGGTTGAAAGCTGATGTCCATTGGGTTCTGGTGTCCGCTATAGCAATTAGGTTGCGCATGGTGAGCAGCATGATACCGACGGCACAGAGTAACGCTGCAGTGAAACTTACTTGTTCTTTATTGTCCTCTTGTCACCTGAGGAAGCTCATGATCGTCCAATTTCCTGCCAAGGGAGGTAGCTCGTTCCATCAGAGCCCCAGTTTGTCGAGGCTGCCAAGAGTCAATGGGTCTCCTGATTAAAGTGTCAGGGGTGCCGATCTCGGGGATGTCAATCAGCGTATAGCCTCAGGCATGATGACTGTGGGGCCTGAGGCGGAGCCCATTTATTAGGTATCTAGGTTATCCAACAATTCCCATCATAACAACGCTGATATGAGTTGAATATCATGGAAATGTAGGTCAAGAGACAAACGCCTTCCTCCATGCTACTTCCTTCATACCAGTGTCGATATTCTTGACATTAATTAGGGTATATCGTCAAACTCGTGGTCAAATGATCCAAGTCACTCAGCTGGGTATTAAACCAAATCAACCGACGAGCATCTCCAGAACATCAACAGAATTCGAGATCCACTCCACCTCCAAAGTGTCATGTGGGCTATGGCGAAAAACGTCTTCGGTCGCAACAGAGAGCCATTCTGCTTTGCCCACCGCATTCCACAACGGGGTATTCCGTGGCCAGGGAAATTGCAGATCGCGTACTTGAAGGATCCCGCTTGCTGGCTCTGCCATGTCCGCAACGTCCCGACTACTAGTCTGTCTGTTTGCACCGCTGAATGCTCTGCAAACTTTGAACAGCGTCAAGTTGAATCGTTTGACCTCCTCGATGCTCACCCACACATAGGTCGCTGGGTCATCCTGGCAATAACGATCGAGGATGTTAGGATAATACAGCAGGCCCAGCTTCTTGCAACTCGTGACCAGCCTCTCCAGCAGGTCGCGGTCAGGGGGTGCAAGGGAAGGCTTGAGGTCCGGGCCAAGCACTTCACCGCCTTGAGACAGCCCAGCGAAGATTATGTGGAGCAAGATGGCCTGGTATGTCGGGATGGGCCACGAACAAGCACTGCATCCGTCCTCTAAGCTCGAGGCATCCCATACCGCCTACGAAATTTCCCATCAGTCGAATGCACTTCTAGTGCAGGAGGTTCTGAGTCACATACTGTCTGTTCGCGAATGGCGGAGTCAAAGATCTGGTGCAGGTCCATTGCTTTGGACTGTGTGTCCTTCTCCCGACTCAGCCACAGACCTATGACAACCATAGATTGCACCAGCAAGGGCGTCTCATACTCGCTGAACGAACCCCGGTGAATGAAGGGCCAGTGAGGATGAAACAGCTTGAAGTACAGACCGAGATAGTGATTCTCCTTTGCGGAGCGGTTCGCCTTGGGTCGGGGGGACAGCGATCGCAACGGCATGGATTGCGGGCCCGACGCGCGCTTGGAGTTGTCACCAGGCTGTACGTCAGTCTGTCCGTGGTGGTCAAGCGAACAGGAAATCCCACGATGCAGGCAGTTGCTACATGGTGGCCCGCCGCGGCACCGGATCTTCAGATTTCGACACAGTGTGCAGGCGTGTTTGGTGGGAGGTTCCGCCGGTTCTTTGGTGACATGCACCTTTCGCATATGCCGCCGGAGTGTATCGCTATCGTTCTTCAGCGTCGACTCGCTCCATTCGCTAGATACATGGGAGGGAGTATAGTAGGCAAGTCACTTCTTACCGCCGGGTAAATGTTTGAGCACAAATCGAGCACTGCGGAAGCTGACGGCAGGTATGTTGCGCCTCATGACGATGGCGATGCTCCCTCCGTTGGTAGCTCGAGCTGCAGCCTGGAAATCGACACTTGAATGTTTTGGAAGGATTCGAGAGCATCTTGCTGATTTGTCAGATATTCCAGGACTTATGAAAGCTAATCAATGGCATTATTGGCTCGAGACTACACCGTAAAGGTGAGCGTAGGGACAAGCAGACGTTTCCATAAGGTTTTGGTGGCTTACCCCTGATAAGATTAACAATGAATAGCTTAGTAAGGTGTCTTGAAGGAATTAAGTTAGATGATGAGACAATTCTGTCTTATGGTCAAAGACACATGTTCATGGATTTGGCACGCCACTTCCGAGGGCCCCACTCTGTCCGGAGTGCCCACCCCGCGCGGGCATCGGCATGCCCACCTTGCTCGGAGTGCCCGCCTGGATCACTCAGCTTGGTATACGGCGATAGGTATTGTGCTCTTAGAAGTAAATTGTGAGAGGTCGTTTGTTCTTTGAAATGAATCGACAAGATGATTACCTGCACAATTTCTAATCACCAGACCACAACACAGCTATAAGTACTGCACGGGTCGCTGGCCTTGATAGCCGCAATGCCCATCATCCAACTCCATTCTACTCTGCGAAGCAAACTACATCATCCCCACCTCTTCATAACCCAACAATGACCCCCTCAATCCTCATCGCCGGCGCGACCGGCAACACCGGCCGGAACGTCGTCAAAACCCTATCCCAACTGCTAGCAACGACCGACACCCTCCCCCACCACCGCATCCTGGCCCTCACCCGCTCCCCCCAGAGCGCGATCGCGCAGCAGCTCGCCCAGCTACCCGGCGTGGAGGTCCTCGAGCAGAACTGGGTCGAGCTGACCCCATCCTGGCTCCAAGAACACGGCGTGGACCGCGCGTTCCTCGCATCACACAACCAACCCCACCAATTCGCCGAGGAATCGAGCTTCCACGTCGCCGCCCTGCGCGCCGGGGTCCGGTACGTGGTGCGCATCTCGACGACGGCCGCGAACGTCCGCCCGGACTGCGACGCCTACTACGCCCGGGCCCACTGGGCCATCGAGGACCTCCTGCGCGCCCCGGAATTCCACGGCCTGCAGTGGACCTCCCTCCAGCCGAACATCTTTGCCGGGCTGTGGCTTGCCTCCGCCGCGGAGTTCATCCAGCAGGCCCGTCGGACCGGCAGGCAGGGGACGCTGCGGCTGATGGCCTCTGAGACGGCGCCGGTGGGCATCGTCGATCCCGAGGAGGTGGGCGCCCTGGCGGCGCACCTGTTGGTCCAGGCGGACCCGGCGGTGCACAACCGGGCCCGGTATGTGGTCAACGGGCCTGCGGATGTCTCCGGGCGGGAGATCGTGCGGATGGTGGGTGAGCGGATCGGGGCGCCGGTGGAGAGGGTCTGCTATGAGGACTTGTCGGGTCTCGAGGCGTACCTCGAGCGAGAGTTTATGGGGGCTCCGCAGTCTTCGCGGAATGTGATCGGGTCTGTCAAGCACGCGCTCAGGACGGCGTGGGAGGGGAAGTGTGCTGCTTCTACGACAAGCCGGGAGGTGCTGGAGATCGCGGCGCCGAAGCGGACACCGGTCCAGGTTCTGGACGATTTGCTGAGGGAGTAGAGGGAGAAATCGCTGTATATCGGTGGTGGTGGATCGCATACATTTTCCTCACCTTGTGTCGAATGGCCTTGTCTGCTCATTTGATTAATTGGAAGTACTGTACAGCGCAGCTTGGTAGTGGCTGGGAGGTCAAACCCATGCTATCAACAACTCCGCTAGGAATCCAAGTATGAATTTAATTTTCTGAAAACAATCACGTAGAACCTCTAGCATGGCCGAAGTACTCGAGTAGAAACATGATCATTCTTGTCGGCGGGGACATGTTAGCGCCCTCGGCAAACCGAGCGGACACTGCAGACCTGACCGCCTACCTAGTACTTCCTACACTCAGCAGCAAGCTTAGCGGTTGATGGAAAATAAAAACGGATTCTGTATTGATTCGATGAGTAACTAGATTTCTCCAGAGCATTAAGGTAAGATTAGTGATGATATGGCGAAAAGAACAAGCAAAAAAAGTTCAACAGGCATTCCAATCGATCCCCATCCTTTCAAAGCACTACAATACGCAAGCGGATAGGAGCCCCCTCGTAAGCCAAAGATTTTAGCAACAGCACAATAACACCGACTAAGAGATTTCAGAAAAAAGAAACACACCACTATACTCCGAAACCCACAACTTACCCATGCAACCACCAACCTCGGGCAACCCCAATCCACATCCACTAAACAATCAATCCCTACCAACCAAACAACTCACATCCTCCATCCTCCCCCCAATCCCCAGCAACAACAAAAACAAGGGAATAAAAATGCCCTGGCGCCCCCTCCACCCCACCGACCTCCCCGCCCTAACCCCCATCGCCAACCAAATCCACCAATCCCTCCCGGAGCGCCCGGAGATCTTCGCCGAGCGCATCCGCCTCTTCCCGGAAGGCTGCTGGGCCCTTGAAGCCGGGGACGACGGCCAACTGGTCGGCTACGCGATCTCGCACCCGATCCGCGCGGGCCAGCCGCCGGCGCTGGACACGCTGCTGGGGCGCATCGCGCCGGACGCGGACCAGTATTACATCCACGATGTGGCGGTCCTCCCCGGGGTGCGCGGACGGGGGCTTGCGGCGGAGGGGGTGCGGCGGCTGCTGGAGGTAGCGGGGCGGTACAGGTATCAGACTACGGGGTTGGTGTCGGTTTATGGCACGGAGGGGTTTTGGGGACGGTTTGGGTTCCGGGTTGTGGAGGTGGGGGAGGAGTTGAGGGGGAAGGTGGCGGGGTATGGCGGGGAGGCGGTTTTTCTTGTTAGGAGGAATGGGAGAGTAGAGGGGTTTGTTTGATGTGATGTGTGATGTGGGATTATTGTCTATGTGTATTATTGTGTGGCTGCTTGATTTGGGCTCTATTGGTGTATTGCTGAACATGTTGCAAGCTTGTAGGATTCACTATTCAATGTACACAAATCTGCATCACTCGTCGACACGCCGTTCACATCAGTCGATAGCTCGCTCGCGCCGAACAATTACTCAAACCCCCTCTTCAGGTTCTCAAACCGACTCAACGGATAGTTTAGCGTATTCGGGCTCCGATCCAGATCCCCCGACCGCATAAATTCGTTCACTGTCGTCCGGATCAAGCTCCGCTCATGTCCGACGGGATGATCCCCGCTCAACTCCCACCACATGGCGCCCCCCAACCCCCTCCGCTTGATGTACTCGACCTTCATCGCCGCGGCCTGCGGCGTATCGTAACTGACCACCTTTCGATCCCCGGGCGCATGACTCCAACTCGCCAACAGATTGCTGTCCACAAACTCCTGATGTCCCGCCGGCGGCAGGGCTTTGTAATCCCACACGCCATTCTCCCACGACCCCTCTCCGACCCCCTGGAACGGCCGCCCGGGACCCTCCGTGTTCTCAAATGCGCGCCCATACAACGGCATTCCAAAGATGATCTTGTTCGGATGCACCCCCTGCGAGACGTACGCGTGCACCGCGCGATCCGCACTGAACGGGGTCAACCGCTCGTGGCCCGGTGGCGCGGGGAAGACATTCGCCTGGTGGCCCGCGTGTGCGTCCCAGCTACCCGCGAAGTCGTAGCACATCAGATTCCAGAAGTCGAGGTAGGGGTCCATGTCGCGGATGCGGAGCTTGGAGAAGTGGGTGGGGCCGCAGGGGGCGGCGATGGTCAGGAGCAGCCGCGAGGGGAGGCGGAGATGGGCCGCGTAGCGGTCGAGCTCGCGGCGGGTCTCCTGCAGCAACAGCACGAAGTTGGCGGCTTGCTGCGGATCCGCCGGATATTCCCAGTCGATGTCGATGCCGTCAAACCCCAAGTCGGCGAGGAGGTGCACGGCGCTCCGGGCGAAGGTTTGGCGGCCCTCGGGCGTGGAGGCCGGTTGGGCGAAGTTGGCGCTGTAGGTCCAGCCGCCAATCGATAGGAGGGTCTTGAGGTGGCGGTGCTGCTTCTTGAGGAGGAAGAGCTGTTTAATGCAGCCGTAGGCGTTGGTGTTGGGTTCGTCCCAGCTGTCGCTGGGGTAGTGCTTTTCGAGGTCGGAGTAGGTGTCTGTTAGAAATCTGGGGGGGAAGGTATTAGATCTAAGAAGAGATAGACAGGATATTGGTGGTTGTACACTTCACCCGTGGGTCGGATGTTTGCGAAGGAATCTGATGTTTGTTAGTGGTTGTGTAACTCCTGGCACATTTTGGGCTTCATACATAGGATGTGTGTGATATACTCGGCTGGAATGTCCTGAGGTTGGTAGTTACGACCATAGACACCCTGCAAACAGGTTAGCTGATATGTCAACAAGTCACTCTATAACGGCTAAGACATACCCAATTGGTGAAGTATGCAACTGTCTTGTAGGCGGGCCCCTGCGGAACGCCAGGAGCGGGTGGCGGAACCATCTGCGGGGGAATCGGAGGAGGAGCACGTGTTATGTTGTAGCTTGGGGCCGGAGCTGAAGGACTCCCTAGAACACGAGAAGCCGGATCTGCGGCCTGAGCTGGCGGCTCATTTCTAGGAGCTTGACCCGAAGGGATCTGCAGCTCCTGGCCTGGATAGATGAGATCCGGGTTGGTGAGTTGCGGGTTGGCGGCTTTGAGGGCATCTAGAGTGACGCCATGATCTTGAGCGATTTTCCACAAGGTATCTCCGCTAGCAATGGTGTAGATAGACATTTTGCTGGAAGTTCAATTGATATTTGGGAAAGGTAGGATAGTTGGAGAAGGAAAGAGACAGAGAATGACGATGAGGCGGAAGAAAGACCGGACGGCGGTTCAGGCACCAACTGCACTCAACCTTAATTCTTTATTTATCGAGGGTTAGCTTATTGAGGCTTAGCCCGAGGTCACGTCCCGCTTGCCTCTTACAGTAAGGTCGTGGCTTCTCTGCCTCAGGCGGGAATTACTGCCCCGTTGCCTCAGTCCTCGTCATAGGATCTGATTCTCAGCCACCTGGTCATAAATAGTAGTTAGTGGTGACTGCAGTGATCATTCATCACTATCTCGGCTATAATCGTGTGGAGCGGCTGATCATTCGATCGCCAGCAACCGCCTTTGGGGAATTTGTTGGCGGTAGCAGGATTGACTGTCTGTAATGATGGCTTTGACATGTAATGCTGACCGATTGGCAACAAAGATGAGAGCTCTCATCACCCCTGTACCTTGCATGGAGACATCCAATGCTGCAATTGCGGAACCGAAGCAGCCCTTCCTGCTCCTGAATGCTGAGGATGGTGTACCAGCCCCTGGCCCCCACCTTATATTACATCCGAGGCGGTAGTCTTTCGGGGTTGACAGATACTACGTATGTCTCAGATTACGGCCCCTCAATTCCAGCTTGGCTCTGGATTGTAGACTTTGATGTGTACAAACAGCGGTCGGATGGGCGGTGCACTGAGGACGACCGGGGCGGGCTGAGAAACAGATGTCTTGGCAATTGGCAAGTCTTAGCAGATGATTATTCTGTATCGCTCGCAGAGAGATCAGAAAAGTTCACATGGGACGCAGTGGATTGAGTGAAAAGCACGCAAGCACGCAAGCATACAAGCATTCAAGCAAGGAGTTGTTGAGCATTGCAAAAAGCCGGGAGATCCGATGATCCATCGACTAGTCCTATTCGGACCATCACGTGTCGGCAATCCGCCCGAGAGTTCATTTGACAGTTTCAGAGTTTGAGATCATTGGAATTCCACACTCTTCGGGAGATAATCTCAATCTCAAGGATTGCCTTTACCGAGTCATCTTGATCCACCTGTTCCCCCTAATGATGACGCCCCCATCACCTCATTTTGGCTGGCATCAAATGGTGCCGCTGATCCAGTCGCAGTGATTGGCTTCCCTGCCAGTTAGGCAGCTGCGCAAATCAGGAATGGCAAAAGGCCCACGCGTACCATCACCGGAGGGTTCCACCACTAAGGCTGACTGCGTGCGTGCGCCATGAGGAGAAGAAATCATCCCAGCGACCAGTTTCTTCGGGGTTTTTCCCTCCTTTGTCCACTTCTCCTCTATTTATCTTATCCGGTCCCTCCTCCATAATGCAGAACTTTCTCTCTTCTCGCACGGCTTGATTTTTGCCTCCCAACAATCTTCCCTCCCACCCTATATGCATTCTTCCAGTTGAGATGAACCTCCACCAGGTGCAATGGCACCTTGCTCGAGCGGCCATGCTGATGGCCGCTCTGTGCCTCGTCCTCTACCTCTACGCAAACCGCAATGGCGCCTCTACGGCCAATGACGGCCTGGTGGTCGACGATGTCAAAGCCGTGGTTCCTGCCCTCTCCGCCTGCGACGATTTCGACCCCGCCACCGTATCGCTTGACCTCCACGGTACCTTGAACGCCAAAGCCCCAATCAATGGCAGCGCAGTCGACGACTTTGTGTGCTCGATAGTGAAGCACAACATGAAACAAACCGCCCATCTCGATTGTCCTCTCAACATCAGCCTCCGTTATGATAGCCTCCGCGTGCAACCGAGCTGGGGTAGCGCCAACCCCAAGGTCAAATACTTCTTCGCCCTCGACCTATACCAAGCCGCCCACATTCTTATGCCCCTGATGGGCGCGATTCTGGATACTATGCGTTTCATTGGGCCTCAGTACTGTGCTCTCTCCATCGTCGAAGGTCGATCCACCGATGGCACGTACGATATTCTTGTCGCTCTGGAACGCGAGCTCGCTGCGATGGGCGTGCGATACTTTCTGGGAACAAACGATCTGAACCCCAAGGCGGAGGGCGAGGATCGCATCAAGGACCTGGCCATTCTGCGCAATCAAGCGATTGCCCCGCTGGTCGCTGCCGGCACGGGCAAGTTCAGCCCGTACGCCGCCGATACGCTGATTGTCTTCGTTAACGATATCGTCCTGTGCACGGAGGACCTTCTTGAGCTGATCTACCAACATCAGAATCAAGATGCGCAGATGACCTGCGCATTCGACTGGAACGCGGGCGGTGGCTCCTTCTACGACTCCTGGGTGTCCCGTTCGATGTCTGGTAACCTCTTCTTTGAGATTACCCACGACGCGCGGTACTGGATCGCCAAGGATATGTTCTTTGATGACAACTACAATGCGGAGCGCTATGGGCGAGGTCTCCCCGTGCAGGTCTACTCATGCTGGGGCGGCATGGTGACCCTCAACGCGGCGCCGTTTGTGCAGAAATCCGTCACGTTCCGCAGCTCCGAACCAGGCGAGTGCTACATGGGGGAGCCCATGACGCTGGCCAAGGACCTCTGGAGAGCGGGCTTGGGCAAGATTCAGGCTGTGTCCAGCATCAATGTCGCCTACGAGTACAAGTCGGCCCGCGAGGCCAAGGAGACCTACAAATATGTGCACCAGATCATTCGACGGGAGAAGTACACGAAGGGGCCGGAACTGATCGAGTGGCAGCCGGAGCCACCGCCGCGGGTTAAGTGCATGCCCTGGTTCAATAACCAATATTGGGTCGACCCGATGTAAATAGTATCTGTGATACCAAGCGTATATATCTTTTTTCTGCATGTTCAGCTCCGTGTGATTTCTACGGCCACAACCAGGGCTTGCTACTGGCGCAGTAATGAACTTTGTGCTAGTTGCTGCTCTGAATTATAGAATTATATACAAGAAATCTGACTTTACCTTGCTTGTTCTTTCAATTTAGCAGTACGTGGTTAATTGAAAGAGCAATAGGATGGGAGGGGTAATGTAGTTCGTTTCCCGTATGTGTTGAAAAAGAGAAGGCGGATATATGTCTGACCTTGTAGATCGCGTTGATGAGTTAGTAGTTGCCATCTGATCACAGCGTCTCTTATCTGCTTCTACGACACGTTCGGATTGCAGACTTTAGGGAATACTCAGCAAGGC